TGTAAAGATAATGAATACAGGCGAATGGAATGTAAACATTAATAGACCGTCGGAAGAAGAAATTAAGTACGAAATGTCCGTAATGAAACGTGAGAAGGCACTAGGACCGGATGGTCTGTATTCAGCCCTCTTCAAAGAAGGTGGAGAACCCCTGGTAACCCATCTGAGAAAGCTTATTCGTGCTATGTGGAACGAAGAGAAAGTGCTTACAGAGTGAGGCATGTCGACAGTCATCCCTATCTTCAAAAAGGATACGCGGACGCTATGTGAAAACCGCCGTGGCATCAGCCTGTTAGCTGTGACATCGAAGGTGCTTTCTGGCCTTATGCTTCGAAGGTTGACTGAACACAGGGAGAGACAGATCCGTGAAAACCAAGGTGGGTTCCGTCCTGCAAGAGGTTGCATCGATCATATCTTCACCTTCTGTCAGATTTTGAAGCAGGCTGCCTGCTTCTAGCAGCCAATAATGATTGTGTTTCTTGCCTTTGACTCTGTGGACCGTCAGGCACTATGGCAGTGTCTGTGGAAGGTGCCTCCAGGTTGCATCGATCATATCTTCACCTTCTGTCAGATTTTGAAGCAGACACGCTGCTTCTAGCAGCCAATAATGATTGTGTTTCTTGCCTTTGACTCTGTGGACCGTCAGGCACTATGGCAGTGTCTGTGGAACAAAGGTGCCTCCATAAATTCTTGACCCTCCTTAAGACGCTGTACGCCAACTTCCGCGGCCGTGTGAAGGTCTACGGGAAGCTCTTACCTGAGTTCACCACATCCAGTGGTGTCATGCAGGGTTGTCCTCTTTCAAATTTCCTCTTCAACTTCGTCATTGATACGTCATGAAAGACCCACTATCAACCTCTAATGCATGTGGGGTTGAAGTGCTTCCGGGGCGTCCGCTCACAGACATCGAGTATGCAGACGACATAGCTCTTCTAGTATCTGACCTCGTGGTAATGCGAACAATATTAAATAATCTAAATAACTCAACCTCACGGTTTGGCATGCATCATCATCATCATCAACGACAGCATGACATCAGTGCTCAACACCAATGCTTCACTGCCATACAGCCATGACTTATTTGAAAGCCTTATTGTAAAGAAAAGAATAAAGGTGGATGGGGGAGGGACTTAGTGCTAGCTTAACACAATCATTCCGAGGTGCCTACACCTCCAGACATTCACTCAGGCAATCTGGACAGAAACTGACAACAAGAACGCCACTGACATCGGGTGCCAGCCATATCTTGTAGTGTCTCCAACAAGGCACAGTGAGGATCACGCGGTCCACATCCTGGAAGGCGAGTAGCACCGACAGCACCCAAGCGTTTCGTCATCTCCTTCATACTCCTCTGCCAGGTCATGGGTTGGCCACCTCTCTGTTTACGCCACTCCGAATCGGG